AAAGAAAATGTTCCATGATTGGCTTGTGGGCAGAATACTGCCAGGTTGCCCGGGCCATGGCAGGTCAATTTTCTTGAGGAATCCATAACCGGAGCCTTCGGCTAGCCAGCCAAAACCTGACTCGCAAGGCAGCGGGGCGGTGTGTGAAAACCGCAATCCATTGGGAGCCGGTGTCCAGTTAATCGGATCATACACCCTTCGNCGCCCAAGGTGCCCGATGCACCTTAATACCCAATCGAGCCGGGGAACACTGCCACAACCAGCAAATTGTGTGTGTGGTTCGTACGCCTCCTTTTAGTTGGTTTGAAATCAGGGTTTTTGACAAACTCCCCTAGGTGAACTACTAGTGATTCACCACCCGGTTACAGCCCTTGATCTCGGCTTTTTGTCCTCTCACTTTGTTGGGAAAACACCTCCGCCACGAGAAAGCAGTGAGTAGGGCAAAAGGGAACTTGATGCACTGCAGAGCGACACGAGCACAGGGAATCTGCTTTCCGGATATCTTATTTGGTGAGATGAAGAACATAAGAAACAGTCTCGGTGAGTATGGTTATCCTGATTGCTTACGCGCCAAACAATTAATGGAAAACCCGGAGAAACCAGAAAGTCCCTGTGGTTTGTATTTGTATACTTGTTTTTACCGTACACAGGAAACAAGACGGCGAACTGAGCGACACGAACATTGAGCTAAGCGATAAGGTGAACGTTCACAACAGTAGCACTATCTATAGATTTCTCTACGTCCCCTGAAATGCGTTTCCATCTCGAAGGTAAATTGTTCCCTCAGGCTACTTCTGTGAGCATCTATTCCTTTACCTGCTTCCATAGATCGATGAGTAAAGACACTGAGTGATATAGCTGGGTATCTCAAACAGTGGCGCTCATTATTCTCTTGACACCGGTCTATATGAATTCTCTATCGTCTGCTTGAATTGGCTTTCAACATTCCCATTTTCATCCTTCTATTTGGCAGCGTTCAGTGAAGCTTGCTTGCTTCACTGTATCTAGCTGTACGATGATGATGATGAGTTCTGTTTTATCCAAATGGGTGGCTAAAGGACAGCCACCAAAACCAGCGCACGAAAGTGCATCGCTAATGGTTGGAAAACCCGAAACTGAAAGCTTTTCACAGAATAAGTGGATCCTAATCCTACATTCCAACTTTTAATTGGACCTGTCAAATAATGGGGAAATGTAGCTGTCATAACATACAATTTTTCTGACTTATTCTGCCAATGGAATTCTGTGTAATGGATGGTTAGAGACACTAAATGATATGGCTGGCTCCGGTTGTAAATTATTCCATGAGGTGAATACCGTTTTGCTAAAGAAGTTCGAACTCACCGTTAGTTTCGTGCGCAATTTCTTTAGCTTATACATGTGCCCCTTATTATTGCTTTGCACCCTCTCAAAGAACACTGCCTGATCCATCCCTGATAGTTTCAGTCTGAAAAACCATTAAACATGCACTTTCGTGCACCGGTTTTGGCTGCCCATTGGGATGAAGAATAGGAGAAGATAGGAAAGTTGAAGGTAGAGTCAAACAAACAATGGAGAAGCTCAAATGTTCCAAGATTGCAAAAAAAATTGAGAAGATGCAAGAACGCCCCTGTTTGCGACACCCAACCATATCGCTCAGTGTCTCTAACCGTCGGTTACGATCATCCCGAGGTCCCCAGGCAGGAAGCCTAACGGGACCTATGTGACCCAGCCTCCTGATTAGGGTTTTCATACCCTCATGCCAGGCCTTAGCTTGGCCACCCTTGACTTTCTTCTATCCACTACTTGTAACACGCGCCCCAACCAGCGTAATCTATGGAGATCGACCACTTGCTCCAGTGGGCGACCGTATTTACCCAAAACTCTGCCCCTAACCTCAGCATTGCTCATCCGGCTACCCCACCAGATTCGTGCAATGCTGCGTAGACAGCGCTGTTCAAACACCGACAGTCTGTCTTTATCTTGTGTTCTTAATGGCAAAGTTTCTGCACCGTATAGCAGGATTGGCCGAACTGTCGCGGCATACACTCGACCGTTCACAGATAGCCGGATGTCGCGACGGCGCCACAGATATCTCAAGTTACCAAATGTCAGCCGAGCCTTCTGTATGCGAGCAGACACTTCATCTGTGATGCGTCCACCGGGTGAGATGTAGCTGCCTAAATAACAAAACTTATCCACTTGCTCTATTACTTCCCGCCTTCCAGGTTAGGGTCCGAAAGACGCTACAACTGGTTTGTTGGAGACATTGAAGGATATGGCAGCGAACCGACAGCAGTGGCGTTCTTGTCGTTTCTTATCAGTTCAAGATGCTTGAGACTATGTATGCCGAGTTCGATTGCGTACTCTGTGTATTGACCACAGAGGTTCATCTTCTTCCCCCTCCCTTAAAATAAGTCCAATCCCTGTCCATTTAAATTTTACCACTAACCTTATATGCATTGTATGCACTGTATTTCGCGGTACGATGATGATGATTTTACTTCATCAGTGAGAGTGAGGCTCGGTGCTAGAC